TCTCTGAACCAGCTCCTTTTGAGGATAGAAAAGAGGATGCTGTCGTTTTATCAGCTCTCAGATCACGGAATAACATGATACATGTCATCTCGGTATATTTATACTATATGCCATATCTACTACATCACTCCAGTTTGCAATTATTCCCGGAACTCTAACTATAAATCCAACCGCCTCGCTGGCATTTCCAAGTGGGCGGCGAGCCCAGCTCCCACAATGATTTAGCTGAACCGTTGAGGGATCAGTCAGCCTTATTGAGCTTCAGGATCTCCATCTCCTAAAGGAGTCTTTCATTTGAATCTGGCAGAAGTGCTGAGCTTGTGGTTTTGTCCACTTGCCCAAACGGCCAGGGAACACCGGCTTTGGATGACCACAGCTTGGTCATCCTGTGAGTCTCGATCCGTCTCCCCTGGCTGGGGCTGCAGTCCCCTCCTCTGGAGCAGATGCTCTCAGAAGCTGATCAGGAACGGCAGAATCCCCTGAAGAGCATGAGACTTCCGGGCCCCTTACCCCCGGAGATCAGGGGTCTCCAGAGCCACCTTTATCAGCACCCCATGGATTCAGACTGAGGCTGCACTCTGGAAAACATCGTTCTAGAATCCGGGGCCACGAACAGCTCTCCTCCTCTGGCTGGGCAGCGTCCACATCCAATCAGCTGTCCCTAAGGTCTGATCTCTGTCCATGTTGGCATGTCCAGCTCTCCTTTCCTGTCCTTTCCCTGACAACCTCTTTTTTATAAATTCCAGTACTCTATGAAACTTAAGCCTCGACTTTCTCTCTGCTTTTCTTCAAACCCTGGTGGATTCCAAGGATAAGTGTTTGCCTTGTCCACCCTTCACGTGCCTGTCTCCGTCAAATGAAGCTGTGCGTGGAGTTCATCTCCAAATCACCTGGAGCAGGGTGGGTGGGGGTGCTCGTTGGTGAAGATGGCAGGTTCTGTGGGTGGAGAGGAAGTCCCGCACCAGGCCCTGGGCTCCACCATGAACAAGGAGGTCATGGGCAGCTGGTCCATCGGCCAGGCTGGGAGACACTCTCTGGAACACTTTTCTAAGTCTTCTTTCTGCAGAACTGATAGTCGTTGATACATAGAATTTGTCTAGATTTTGACCAAATAAGTGCTTGACACAGATAAAAAGAATCTCAGACCTTATTTCAGAGAGAAGAGAACTCAGCCTTTCACTTCTGAGGTGGGAAAACAGAGAGGCTCAGAGAGGTGATGTGGCTGATGGGACCCTCCTTCAACCTAATCCAAAGCCCTCGGTGTCGAGGCTCTGCCAAGCAGCCAGCCCCTGGGCCTGTGGGATAAGCACACAATTCCCACTCAGCAGGCCTTTCTGAGACTCGTGGGCGGAAGGAGAGGACCCGGCAGCTGAGGTGCAAGGCCGGCTGCACTGTAGGGTATGCCCTGAAGTTCGGCAACTCAGGAGGAGAGACACGGAATGGCAACGAAATGGAAGTTTCTAGAAATGCTGTATGTGGTGAAGGAAAGTGAAGACTTTTATTTTAAGCAGAAGTTCATTTCACTGTTGCTTTATCGTAAGTGGTGTTACATCTCACAATAAGCAACGTTTAAAAAGGAAACGAGGTGTGAGGAGAAGGGGAAGTTCGGAGGAGTGGATACTGAACAGACCCAGCCCGTGGGGGGTCTTGGGTGTCCTACAGGCTGGCTCTCGTGTTCCGTTCTCATAACCATCTGGGGAATTAGAGTCACGACCTCAAGTCATACATCAAGAAAGACTCCAGATGTTAAAATGCAACCAAAATAGAAAGGAGCACAGGAGAATTATTTTGTAACCTCAGAGTGAAGAAAGGCTTTTGAAATATGACTCAAAGTCCAGAGTCCATAAAAATGATTGACAGATTTGACCACAAAGAGAATTAAAACCTACATGGAAAAAATATCAGTAGGCTCAAAAGACAAATGAAAAACTGGGGAAAAACCATTTGTAATATGCCACCAGTAAAAGGTCTACTCCTGTAATACGTAAACTAGTGAGAAAAAGACCAGCATACCAAACGAAAAATGAATGACAGGTCTCAAAGAAGGAATCACAGACAATTCTTAATTATGTATAAAAATTTGAAAAAATTTACTAATAATAAAAAGTGAAATTAAAATGTGTCAGCACATTTTTAATCTATTTTCTTAGCAAAATTTTAGAAGGTTCATTATGCACTGCATTGGCAAAGACTTTGGGGGAAATAGGCTCTCTCACTGATGGGCTAAATACGAATTTCCTTTGAAGGTGAAGTTATCAGTATCTGTCAAACTTACAATTATGTGTACTCTTCACCCCTGCTTTAAGAAATTTATCTTACTTTACGTGAGGCACACATGCAAGGATATGACTAAAGACTGGAAACAACCTGAATGTCCATTAATAGGGGACTGGCCAAAGACAGCCGGTACACTCACACAATGAAGGATCATGCATTGATGTAGAAGATCTGGAAGAACATGCTGGAAGACAGACACTACCATGACCAGAGAGTTCTAGGTAGATGAGGAAGAGTATGTTCATCTTATATGCTTTTTGATTTTTGAAATCACATAAATATATTATGTATTCAGAAATTTATTTAATTAACCAGGAGCCTGTCAAAAATGCACACGGTTTTCCCAGCATTAACCCCACTGAATCTGAATGCCCAGGGTGAGACTGCCCTGCTCACCCCAAGGGTGTGTTGAGTTAGTTGTTCTTTTGTAAAGACTCTATACAGTGAGCTCCAGCTTCTGGGTTTCAGGGAGCAGTGCAAACCAAAGCTACCATCCCTCACGCAGGAGATGGAGCGCTGAGTGAACCGCCGTCTGCCCAAGTGTGGCGGGATGGATGCCATAATTATTATATGGCTTCCAGAAAACAATCTGTACGATTTATAGCCAGGGATGGACTCCAATTCTCTAATTTTTTTTTTGTATTATATGTAGAAAAAAAATGAAAAAGAAAGAAAACAACCCATTTTGTGCTCTGAGTGATAAATGAACAAAGAGGGAGCCAGCCAGACTTTCAACCACCAATTCCAACCACTGCCACGCACACTGAGTTCACCATCTGTCCAGAGCAACAATACAGATACTGATGAAAAGACCTGGGGTGGGGGGACGTCCCACACCCATGGCTGAGCTGGAAAGTCACCAAAAGCCTGTCTTTTCTGATCTCTCTCAGGTTGAAAACACCATGCCCTACAGTCCCGCTAGGCAGGCTTAGGTGGGTACCAAGAGAACTGAACCTGCTTGGGCAACAAACTCAGGGTGAGCAGGCCCTTAGAAGCACTGACCCTCACAGCCCTGGACAGGCTGCCCCCGAGGAAGGGCTCATCCAGATGAGAACACGGCTGCACCTGGGGGAGGCTCAACCCTCGAGTTCCACACAGTAACGGGACGGAGGCCCCAGAAGGTGACAATCTCACACACAGAACGGAGCTAAAGGAGACAAGTGGAGAACAAACTGCACGATTTCACCTCCATTAAAATGATGGGAAAAAGCAACCCCTGGCTGTAGAGTAAGGACGGTTGGTGGCACAAGGGAAGAGGGTGCGGGTGGGGGGCATTTCTGGAGATCGGTGACCTGGGTGATCAGTTTGTGCAAAGCCGTCAAGCCATGCACTTGGTATTTGCAAATGTTCTGCACTTTTCTTAATGCTTTTTGTTTAATAGTTTTTTTAAGCATTATAAGGCAGAATGAGCAGCATGTGAATGAGTTGGGGAATCATGCTCTCCCAGCCTTGGCTGAGATACCAAAGAGAGTCCAGGCAGAGGCCGAGAGGACCCAGCGCTCTCTGCCAAAATTCCTGGGGAGCTATGCAGAGATCCCGCTGGGTGGCTCAGAGTTATTATATGGCAGCGCGGCCTTGTGGGGACCTGTGGGCCAGCCCAGGAGGACGAGGTCCTTCACTGAGCAGTGGGAGAAGGCTCTGTGCCACCTCCAGGCTCAGGAATCTCTCCTGGCTCACATCTCTAAAAAAGTTGATTTTCTAGATGATCAAAACTTCTCTCATTAAACAACTCCCTCACTTAACCTGAAATCATCTTTAATGGAATTCCTTCTAAATTGTATTTCACACGTCCCTGACTTTTGGAAGATCCATGGTAGAGAATTTAATCAAACAACAAATGCCAACGCTTACGATTAAGTGCTGTCTTTGTGCCAGACACTGCCCAAAAGGCTTTCTATCAGTGTTTCTCGTTTAATCCTACAGAAATCCTTGGGAATTAAGTCCTATTACTCTTCCTGCTTTATGCATGAGGCTCAGACAATTCAATAATTGTCCAAGGTCACATGGCAGGTCGAGAGTAGGGGGCCCGTGGCGCTCCCTCCAAAACCTTAACTCCAACCTCATGCCCACCTCTCTTTATAGCCTCATGGACTGAGTCTGAGTGGCACCTTAAAATGCCAAGGGGTGCCCAGGAATGCTAGCGGCACCTCTAGAGATGTGGTTGGAGTCCTCATTGTGTTCCTTGATTTCCCTTCTCCTTCCCCGCCCATGTCCTCCACCCCACTGGGTGCTGGGGTGGCACCCAGGGCTCCCCCATGCTAGGCGAGTGCTCCACCGCGGAGCTGCACCGCAGGCTCCTGTCATCAATATCATAGTTTTAGTTTACAGGAGAGCCGTGATCAGTGTGCTACATGCCCTCCCCCCCAAACCCCAACTCCTACCTAAAGTCTGATAAAGATCTTTTCCACCTCTTTAAAGTCTCAACCCTGTTAGATCTGTTTGGCTGAATATCCCACAGAGCTGGACCAACTTCTTTATCAGTTTAAGAAGCCCCTCTGGTTCTCTGCGTTTGAAAGTGTCGTGGATTTGCTTGTCCTTAAGGGAACTCAGAAGGAAGCCCTAGTGCTCATCAGGTCAACAGGAACAGCCCTCACCAGTGTCCCTCTGGCCCGCGCTCTCCAGAGCACACGCACAGCGGCGCACAGACAAGCCCAGGGCGGCAGGGAGCCCCGTCTGTGAGGTTCAGGGCGGCAGGCCTGAGGAGGAGAGCCTCCTGTCCTTACCCCGTCTTCAAGCTGACCAGGGCGTCCTCGACCCCCTTCTGGTTGAACTTGGTCATGTACTGGTGCATGTAGGGGTAGTTATTCCGGATGTTTCTCTCCGTGCTGCCGTTAGGCACCGTCCCAAATCGAAAAGGTGGAGAATAATCATGAGGTCTCTGAAACTGGAGGGGGAGGGGGAGACAGAGAAGGACCAGGTGGGGAGCAGCGGAGCAGGAAGAGGGGAGGGGAGAAGAACAGGAAGAGGAGATTAGCAATCACGGCATCTGGTGTCAGGAGGCAAACACACATGCATCAGTGGAGAACAGCAAAAGGTATTTATTCTGTGCTTTCGTGGTACTTCTCCGCATCTTCCAGTGCCGTGTCTGTGAGCTCCAGGGGATGGACGCAGCATCTGTGTTTCTCTGTGCTGTTCCCCCCAGTCCCAGCACAGGGCCCACCTGGCTGGGTGGCAGTAGATATCCTTCAGGATACATTTTCCTGTGACCTTATAGACCAGCAGGATGCCAGGCAGGCAGGCAGGCGGGGCTCCGGAAACGCTGGCCCAGCTAGGATTAAGGTATAATTTTAGTCCGATTCCTTTCTCCACCTTGTGATGAAATTCTAGGTGACTCACGGATGGCACCTGCTCTGAACTCCACTGGTAGTTACTTTTACCCGGAATGTGACCCTGTGGCCCTTCGCCCGCTCACTTCCGTGGTCACCCGTCTCTACAGGCTGTCCTCAGGGAGTGCCCAGGGGACCATGACGCAGGGCACACGGCAGGCTGGCGCTACGCAGCAGCTTCCCGAGGAGGCCCAGGTCCACGCGTCTCCCTGACCACCTGGCGAATGCTGTCTGTCCTCCGCTTTGAGAGGTCAGGTGACTCTACCTGATGGGAGGTCAAGAGGACGAGTTGGTTCTGAGTCCCAGAAACACAGCCACACCTCGACATGTCGGAAGGGCTACAGCTGTGAGCCCAGGCGTGCTGGGGAAATTAGTCTGGGTCTCCTACGAGCCGTGGGACCCGAGGCAGCTCACTTGGCCTCACACCGGCCCTGCCCACCTTCTCCCAGTGGAGCAGGGGCCATGCTGATCCGTGCTCCGTGGGGTCCCTGAAGGGAAGAAGGAACCAGAGCGGCAGGTTTCTGTGAAATCTGGAGCCCCGGAGCCAGAAGGCAGTGGGACAGACGCGAGTGAGGACTGGGCCGGGCCAGTGCTGTGCTGGGAGCCCTGGAAGGGGTCACTGGATCCTCAGGACCGCCCTGCGGGGGGCGAGGCTTAGAGGCCCCGACTTACACCCGGGGACGCTGAGGCTCTGGTGTCACGTGGCCCAGGACTGCGTGGTCAGCAAGCCGAGGCTGGAACTGAAACCTACAGGGGAGGCCCTCACTCACTGTTCCTCAGAGACCACCGAGCACCTCCTCCTCAGAGAGGGTGGGGGCTGGAGACCCCAGAGGGCAAGACACCCAGTGGGTCCGCGTCTGACCGGGCTCCAGGACTCCCACAGAGTCCTCTCCAACTTGCAGCGCCACGTGCCTTTCCTGGAACCGAGAACTGCCTGAGAAGCCTCCGGTTTTGCCCAAGTCAGCCCCACCGGCGATGTTGCTCTTTCTCCCAGACTCACGCTCCATGTCGCTGTCGGTTAGACTTTGGGTTGAAGATCATTTTCCCTGGATCAGGCAGGCCTGACAGACAGCCATAAGTGGCTTTGGGAGGAGGGTCCATTCTTTGTCCAAATGAGATTCTCTGCCAAAACACACCTTGCATTGAGTGTGAGTGCGTGTGTGTTTGTGTGTGTGCGTGCATGCCTGTGCAGCAAAATGCTCTCTGCCATCAGTTGGTCAAGCAGCGTCCTTGCTCATCACCAAAAGTCAAGGCCCCTTCCCCGGCTCCTGGGCCTGCAGCTGCCCTCGCTGAGACCAAGCATCCCTGCGCGGTCATTGATCTGGCCCTTGCCACTGCCGCCCACCTCAGAGGAGCTGCAGACAGACGCCTGTTTGACTAATGGCCCTTCACTCCACTCTCCACTGTCCTAGAGGAGCCTCTGCTCTTTTGAGACCCGATTTCTTCCCTGCCCCTGATGGGCACAGTGACGGAGACGGACGCTCAGCCTCTGTGATGCTCCGGCGTTCTCTGGCTTTGGGAGCTGCATCCTTCACACACACTTCAGCCCGGGGCCAAGATCCAGGGATCTAGATCAGAGACTGACAGACTTGTTAAGGCAGGACGCACAGCACACTCCACTGCTTCCCTGTGTGTACCCACACGCGTGCCCACGCTCACGAAACTCCACGGTACTCCTTCTTCTACACGTGATACACTCCAGTGTTATCCATCATGATTTTAATAGTCACAACTCTTGGTTTCACGGCTCACGGAAGAGTCCCGGCCTACAGTGAAACAGGTAGGGGCGTCTCATCTCTAAAGTCCAGGTCTCCGTGGAAGGCACTCCATGGCAGTCCCGGGTAGGCCCAGCCGTGTTCCACTGTAGTGGGACTTTGTCCCAGAGAGCTCCAAGTGTCATCAGAAAGGAACGAGCACTGGTGTTAGGGAAGGAAGGGGCAGCACAGAGCGTCCCCTGTCCTGCCTGCAGGACAGAGAGCATCAACCCAGGGTCCAGGGAGGTCCAGGCTGCTCTCCAGGCTGCCCTCACTGTTCCTGCGCACTGGCTGCCCCGGCCTCGGGGGCAACCGAGGGAGTTGTGTTATTTGGGGGCAGCTTAGGAAGGAGTCTGAGCCTCAGTTTCTCTAGCTGTAAACAAAGGACCCCTTTTGAAGTTAATTGTGAACTGCCTCAAAACACACCTGGCGTCCCCACCGCTTGCCACGCATCGCCCATCCTGTACGTGATGATCTCGCACGCCTCTCGGAAACCTATTTTACTTCATCATCCAGAGTCGTTGGGCCAATAATGAAGCCAGCCGCCCTCCAGGTTGGAGAGCCAGCCCACTTTCTACGTCTTCCCCTCCAACATGGGGACCCGTCTGAAGTCGTCCAGGGAACAACATGGCAAGTGCTGGTGGTGGATGGGGAGAGACGCAGGTCAGGGAAAGAAGACTTTTAGGAAAATGCAGCGATTAATCGGGTTGCTCCTCCGTTCTTCTTGTGAACCCCAAGCCGCACACTGTTGTTAAAGACCTCGCTCGGTCTTTATGCCCAGGGTTAAGGACACCTGGCCCCTGTGGCCCTGTTTCTAGCAAGGTCTTCAGCGGGTGAGGAGCCGGGTGTTGGTGGACGTGAGCATGTGGCAGAGGCAGCCTTGATGGGAGCCCGGGGTCGGAGGCTCCCTGACAGGAGCCCTGGACCGGGACCACGCAGCGGCACAGGGAGGCACCGTGCAGGGCAGCAGCACTCCTCGAGAACACGCGTGCAGAAGTCCCTGGATTCCTTCCTTCCACGGGCTGTCACAGAAGATCAGCCCCTGCAACAGCCCTCCAGGCCCCGGAAGTGAGGAATGGTTTGTATCAGACAATGACAATGACAGGGAGGAGGAGGGGGAGGAGGGGGAAGGGGAGGAGGGGGGGGAGGGGGGGGAGGAGGGGGAGGAGGAGGAGGAGGAGACAGGAGAGGAAGAATAGGAGGGAGAGAGGAATGAGAGAGGAAGTGGACAAGGGGAGGTGGCCCTGAAACAGGGTCATCTCCCGTGGGCCAGCTGTACCGCGAGGGTTCCTTCAGTCCTCACATGGACCTTGCCAGAAAGGTATTAGCATCTTGCCTTTATTAGGAAACGAAACCTCGGGGATGTGGGCATATGGAAGACGTGGGACCACAATATGGCAAGGTTGGGGTCTGAATCCGGCTGCATTGACCCCAAACTTGGCATTGCTCTTGCCACTACATGGATCTGCCTCTCAGAGATGGTAGTGCCCAAGGCTCTGGAAAGGGTCCCCACCCATGTGCCAACTTTCCTTTAATCATTCCAGGGGAGCGTTTGCCCATGAATTCTCCTATTTGTAAGGCAAACCCAAGCTCATGGGGACCACAAGGGCTCCAGATATGCTGCATTCACTGCAGGCGCTAATGGTTTAAACGAGTCAGCAACCTGAGTGCTTACGCAGGTACTCATGATTAAAAACCAAAACAAACACTGTGTGCAGTATTACAACGATTTCATTTATATAGATTTTCATTTTGCAAACTTGCTTGGTTTATCTGCTATTAATATTCCGGGAACAGTTAGCCTATTTACTCTAATAATTCTGCTGTTCGTCTAATTGTAGCAAACATTTAATTAAAAGGGCTATCGGTTTGCCTCTAATGCTCCTAGCAGGGAAACGGAGCTGTGTCCCATGAGGATCTATTGTCAGCCCCTAGGTGTTTCCAAATCAAAGGTCAGTAAAATTGTTAGTGCACTTAATGAGTTTTCCCACAAGTGGTCGTATTAGATCCCAAACTACAAAGCGAGGGACGTTTTCCCCCTGAGCAACAGAAAGCAAAATACTCTGCCAACTACCTTCTGGAAACTCCTCTCACTCAGGACAGCGCTCTCCCTGCTCCCTTTGGCTTCTGGCCCCTTCTCCTAGGCACTGCGGTTTGGATCCCATGACAATGGAGTACTTAGCAGTGCCGCTGTCTGCAGGATGTGATGGGCGCATCCACACACCAGTTCCCTCTGATCCTCTGCACAACTCACAGAGAACGGCAGGCCCGGGGAGCTTGCCTGACTCGGCTGGGCCTGGCAGGGGGCGAGCGGGAAGCCACCCTGACCCCATGCCAAGCTTCACCTGGTGCCTCAGACACCCCGGGCCTCAGCTGGGGGTCTTCCGGCAGCAGCCCCCGCCCCACTGGCCAAGAACTGGGCTGAACCTGCTTTATTAATGAAGTGCTCAGGAGGAACCCATAAGGGTTGGGGTGCGGGGTACAAGGGAGGATTAGAAATCATCCTCGCACGCGGGAAACGGACACCTCCGCAGTGCGGCAGCCCTGACGCTGCGGGGCTCAGCCGGTGGAGATGGGCTTCCCGAACGCAAGCTTCCACAGGAGGGGGTGCCCTCTTCGCTCCTCCAGGTGTTTCTGAATGTCCACTCAAGCCCTGCCACCCTCTTTGCATGGCAGTGGGGACTGGGGGGGAGCAGGCCACAGACAGGGGAGCTCTGAGGAGTGTCTGAGGAGGAAGGCACAGGACACGGCTTTACTTCAGAGGCATTTCCCATGACAAGGGCCAGAGGCAGCATCCTCTGAAGAACCCTGGCGTGGCTCTTCACCAGCAAAGCGTGTCAGAGCAGGCTGGGCACGCAGGCTGGGCACGCAGGCTGGGCACAGGAGCCCAGGAGGCCGGGGCACCAGGGTCTAACACCGTCCATTCACGCGCTCTACCAACAGGAGGTACCGAGTGCCCCCGGGTGCCGAGAACTCCATGAAAAGTGGTCTCTTCCCAGCCAGTTTGCGCCCCTCCGCTGTATCTCTTGTATCCCATTTATTCCCGTCTGACATTTCCTTCTTCCCTGACATTCATTTGTGTATTGGTTTTTCTTCCTACCAAAATTCAACTTTCGGGGGTGCCTGAGCTCACCCTGCCAAGCTCACCCCAGAGTCAGGGACGTCCTCTCTGGTATTTTCCCTAAGACCTGAGATTCAGGAGGAGGCAGCCAGGAGAAGACGGGGGCAGCACCCTCTAGGCAGGGAGCCCAGCGGGCACCGGGCAGGAAGGGGGACAGGGAACTGGCAGGGGCTCTGCTGAGCAGCAGGGAGGGGACGGTGCGGGAGGCAGAGGGCTCTGTGTGTCCGGTCAGTGGAGGGGCCCCCACTCAGGCTCCCAGGGCAGCCCTCCGAGGGAGGCCAGCCACGCACGGGGCACCTCTGTGCAGGGGACGCCATCTCTGACCCTGGCCTCTCCTCGTCCGCCTTCAGCAGCCCTGCACGCCCTGGGTCAGCTGTAAAAGGCTTTCCACGGGCTGATTCTTTATGCAGCAGTTTGTTGATGAATGTGAGAGGATGTAGGTAGACTTCTGTCAACAGGGTACGACAGGGAGATTTCAGAGAGAGAGACAAATCATCCTCACACGCAGGAAACAGAAAACCTCCGCAGTGCTGCAGCCCTGACGCTGCGGGGCTCAGCCAGTGGGGATGTGCTTCCCAAAGGAGAATTTCCAAAGGAGAGGCACCCCGGCTCCCTCTTTTCTTCCTCCAGGTGTTTCTGAATGGCCACTCAAGCCCTGCCACACTCTGCCTTGCAATGAGGACTTGGGGGAGCAGGCCACAGACAGGGGAGCTCTGAGGAGTGTCTGAGAAGGAGGAAGCCACAGGACATGGGTCCTGGCTGGTCCTTTTGTGTTCCTTGAAGCGATCTCAGGACAGCTGCAAGAGCTGACTGAAAGTCAGTCGGAAGGCGGCCGGTTGCATGGTGGGGAGGAGCTACAGGTTGATTTTGTCCCTCGACAGGAGTTTAGATATGAAATGCCTGGTACTGAAGGTGAGGGATCCCAGGCTTGGAGTACACAGAGGCTCTCCAAGGTCACAGAGCTAGGAGGTACCTGCAGGCTAGCAGCCCCTCCACACTGAGTTTCTCACGGCCCAGGACAGTGGACAGTCCCCACGTCATGCTCCCCTGGGAGGTGTGAGCTGCTCTGGGCTCCTGAGTCAGAGAGTGCCCACCGAGGCCTCTTCAGGAAGCCTGCAGAATCAGCAAGTGGGGAAACTGTGCTTCTAGATCAGATCCAGAATCCTTCAGAGCTGGTGAGCTGACCTTCAGGTGCTCAGATCACTCCTTCTGAGGACAGCAGTTAAGACCAACCCCGACACAGAGACGAAAGCAAGGCCACCTTACCTTCTTGTCACTGAGTCCTGTTACTTGGTCCACAAACTCCTCCTGGATCATGAAAGCAGCCAGATTGGCTGTGTAACTGGCCAGGAATATGACGGCAAAGAAGGCCCACACGGATACCATGATCTTGCTGGTGGTGCCCTTAGGATTCTGGACAGGCACAGAGTTGTTGAACACCAGGCCCCAGAGGAGCCAGATGGCCTTTCCGATGGTGAAAGAAGGCCCGTGGGGCGCTGCAAACGACAGGAGAGACACTCTCAGCACTTTCCCAGCACACGCGCTTGTGTAGGCAGGAAAACTAGGGGCGGCCGCCGGCCACGCTGAGCATTGCTGGGGACAGCTTGGTAGCACCACAGCCGTGTCCTCTACCTGTCCTAGCACCAAAGCCACAGTCGGCTTCATCTTTCTTCAACAATTAGCATTCTGCCCACATTTCTATCTAACTGGATCTTGGCACATTTCTTTAAGAAGAAATAGGAAAAAAAAAAACAAGAGAGAGAGAAAGGGAACGCAGAGGGTTCTGAAAAACGGGGATGGGAAGGAGAAGCAGCCGAGGCCCTATTTAAATTTGGATTTGATTTCCATTTGGGAACCAATCTCCTCGATAAATGTAAAGAGAGCCTGATTAAACCCGTCGCTGGGGGCTGCTTCTGTAGCATCAGACGCGCCCGCCCAGCAGAGCGCGCCATTCAGCAGGCCTCATGTTTGGTATTCTAACTCGATGGTCCCTAGCAATCGCTCCTGTTCGAATTCAGATGTAAAGTGAGCTCGATACAGGAATTAAACCAAACTAGAACTCTCTCCAAATGGAGACATTAAGGAACAGAATAATAGAGCTGAATTCTTCCAGCACTTCACAGATGGAAGGCGTTTCACCGTGGGGTCGTAGAAAATGAACCCCGCTCTGCTCTCTCCCTCCGCGTCTCCTTGCAACGGCTATGCGTGTCCCTTTTAAGACTCTTAGACGTTCCTTGCAATAGACTTAACTAAAGAGGCAGAACAATGCTGGGGAAATTTATTGAGACGGGGCCGACGCAGGCTGTAAAACACTCACGTTTGCGTTTTTCAGTCTGAGTTTCGCACAGGGAAAAAATCAATTTATGTCCTTGTTTTGAGAGGAAAGAAGGTCTTCCTTTAACAGAAGGTTAATTTTTATGTCATTTAAGTAAATGGAAATATGAAAAAAAAAAAAGATCTCCGGAGACCAGTTTGCCACGTGAGCAGAGTGGGCAATAAATAAAGTGGCAGAGTGTGTTCAGCTGAGGAGGGGACGGCGCCTGGGCAGGGAGCTGTCACCGTCCCTCATCCACCGCGGTCAGGAGAGACCAACCAGTTCCACCCTTTCACTCATTCTCTCCCGTTTCTCTCTGCCTCCCTTTTCAATCTCACGGACTGATTCCCAAGAGGCTGGGAACTCTTAGGAAAAAGTAATAATAATGATTAGAGTCAAACCAGCTAACCTCACGACTGCTTGGTTTTATTAGAGATGCATGTTGATCCAAAGTGACAGCTTCTCGGGAATCAGACATAGGTGGCCACCAGGGACCTGTCCAGCACTCTTGGGGACTCCCGATCCACGAGTACTATTACTGGGCTACATAGAACTTTCCCCATGAAGTGCAATGTAACAGAAAAGCATTTTGCACAGAAAAACCACAAGGAGCTATCATTTCCTGGGAGTCGTCACATGCACAAGAGCAGGACACAGGAACCCTGCACCTAATGGGAGGGCTGGGCAGTTTGCATCCTGGCCTTCTAGGGCACGCTGCAGCTGAGGGAGGGACTGTGGCATGGGATGGCCTTTGCAGCACGTTAAGAAAACAAAACCAAACAGAATAAAAACCCAACCCTTCATGATCATTCTCAAATGTACCCACTTATCTCCATCCTCATTTCCTACTTCAAGTCCAAACCACTCTGACCACTGGGACACCTTCTTCAGGGGTTCCCTGCTTCTATGGTCACTGTCCTCTCATTTACCTGGACAGACAGTGACCTGTTCACATCGTACACCTGGGTCACCGGCTTCCCTTCCCTGCCCCCAGCCTTCCTGAGCCCCCTCCCGGCTCTCGCACCCAGCTAAGCAGCACCCCGCCCATCACCGCCACCTCGCCCCTCTGCCCTCTTCTTTCAATGTGCTGCTCTCGGTGCTCACTGGGTCATGTGTTTACCTGATGCAGCCACAACCCCGCGCCAAGATTCCTGGGGGAGGCAGCCTCTAGCTGACCCCTTTGCCATCGGTGCACGACCCGGCACATGGCACCTACTCCAGGAATATCCACCCGTCAACGTGTGACGTCACAACAGCACGGACGCTGGTCACACAGATGCCGAGATCTGCCCTGCGGCCGCACAGTCACCCACAGAGAACTGCCTCGGCTTCCACTCACTGGAACCCCTGCGTGGCTCACTGCATGGCCTTTCATGGAAGGCACACCGTGTCCACTTAAGCACGAGGTGACTGTGACAGTGTCGTTACTGCAGGTTGGCTGGAGATGGCTCAGGCGGCAGTCCCTGCTCTTCAGTTGTTAAGAGGTGGAGGATTTCAGTTAAACTAAGTCCCTCGTAGAGCCCCATGACCTCTGGCTGTTTCCAACGCTTGACCTTCCGGGGGGGAAAAGCGTGCGTGTTGATGTCACGGGGCCCTGTCACGGGGAGCGTCTGAGAGCTCAAACTCTCCTACCTCCCCCAGCTCCTGAGAGCCCTGTGCCGGCTGTTGGTCCCCTCCAAGCTCCTGCTTGTCACCGAGGAGACTCCCTGTTTCTGAACCCTGGCTCCTGGGGGTGCCTCTTTGTGAGTTATAGCCAATAAGTGCCTCCCAATTCAATTTTCTACCTACCGGTTGCCTCTTTATCAAGCACCATGCACCGAAGTCGGGCACCGTCAAGAGGGAAACGCGACTCCTTGGGGAAAGATACCACTTTACAGCTACGCTGTCAAGCGCATGCAAATGTGATTCAGTAATTTGAAGAATGTTCTTAAACTAGATTCTTTGTGTAGACTGAAGTTAAGACTCGCTACGATTTTCATATTTCTTTTTGACACAGCCTTTTTAATTAATTGCCAAAATAACTTTGTTCAGAGCTGCTTCCTCAACAAATCAAATATCAACAGTTTCATCTAACAATGATTGACTTCTCCTTATAAGATTAAAAGGTCTCATTTTGCTTTATCCTTTCATTTTTCTTTCTTTCTTCTTTTTTTTTTTTTAGCTGCAGAAAATGAACCATGTTTGTGTGACATGACAAGCCACCTCTGTGGTCCAGCACCACTGGTAGGAGGGGGTTCCATAGCAACGTGAGACGAGGTACTCAGAAGCCAGATGCTCATTACCAGTGGGTGAGGAAGGTGGACCTGGGTTCTACTGATGAAGGCTCCTTACCTTTCCCTTTGGCCAGGTTTCTGTTGTAGCCAACGGGACTGAAGTACTCAAAGACAAACACGGCGATGGCAGAGACGATGAGCAGCATCACGAACATCATCACCCAGACGGAGGCGCTGAAGGGTTCTGCAGGGAGACAGACCAGGGGACAGAAGCAGTCAGTCGGCGGCTCTCCACGCGGCCCAGGAGCCCGGACGTGATGTGCGGGCTCACCAGCCGGACTCCTCTAACTGGAAAATGATCATTCAAAAGAAGCCAGTCATTAAGAAGAAGAAGAAAAAAAAAATATATATATATATATATATATATACACACACACACACATTTATGTATTTTCTAAAATATTTGAGGTACTTTATAAGCTTGCATATGATATGATCAAACCAGAGAAGAGCAGAGGACATTTTGCAACTCAGATCAAGGAGAACAGAAACAAAAAGGAATGGTCAGATGAAAGGAGAAAGAAGAATGTAAGTAAACAGGCTGCGGATCCCACAGGACGGCAGGACCCTCCCGAGAACAAAGCTGGGGGACAAACGGTTGAGCACAGACTCCTGCAGCCTGGCCTGGTTTTGAGTTTTCTCTCCATCTGCACTTCTTACACACTGGTGGGCTGCTGGGTAGGGATTTCAGAGGTGACGGGAGAATGACAACCTGTCGGGAAGGATTCCAAAATCATGGGTTGAGGAGGATGTTAGAAGGTCATGGTCTGCCACCGTGACTCTCCACTTGGCCCCTGCTACATGCAGACCAGAGCTCTGGAGCCTGTCAGTCTTGCTGGTGCAGGCACCGGGCTAACATGCCAGGGGAAGCCATCTGAGGACACCGTGTCACGTGATAATTTAATGGGAAAGCATCACTTAAGAAATGCAGGTAGACCTAGACGGGCAGCAGTCGGTGGGTAGACGGTGAGTCACTTTCGCCAGCTCTTTCCACATCACTGAGGCAGTAGGCAGAGATCTCAAGGGCTGGCCAAGTCCCGGGGTTCTAAGGCTTATAACACTCTAGGAGGGTAAGAGACGCTACGCAGGATAAATTGGCCCTTTGATTCAACCCAGTTGAGGATGTGAAAATTAGCTGATGAAAGCCATTTTACCTACTTTTGATATAGATTTGCTAAAAAATCAACAGAGACAAAAATTTCAAAAATGAGTATATCTGCCCTTGATTGCCTCACTGGGAAGAAGTCTTACAGACACAGATACCGTGGACCTAACACCCCGTTCCTCATAAGCAAACAGTGTCTGAGGGTCCGTCAGGGCAATAATGCTTCTCAACAATGAGCTTCTTATTATTTATGATGAAGAATGAGGCCGATTGCAGACTGTTAGTCTATGACTGCCGCACCCAGCTGGGAGTCAGGCAGAGTCCTCCTCCAGGAGGCTTAATTCCACGCTGTGACCTGAAAACGAGAACAAGTGCCGGGCAACCTGATTTTGAAAGCGCGGATACGTTAAGAAGCAACCGGTAACAACAGAACCGGCTTAACACAGAGGGGCTCAGAGATCCGGGAGACCTTGACAGAATTCATCTTACTTAGATTTGGCTTGAGTCATAGACAATATTAGGCCTCCGGAATCACATGAATTTGGTAATGAGGTGTATCCAAAAGGGAGAATAAGTAAATGAGTAATTAGGAGATTAAAAGTATTTAATAGTCAAGAATAGAGATGTTAAACTAATTGTCAATTCTGGCGTGCTGATGGCATGGTGGGCCTTATCGGAGGAGTATTCTTGTGACAAGGACGTGAGCATTTAGACATTTGTGATTCTCGTTACACGTACGTGAGCATTAAGACGCTTGGCGGTGTGCCTCACCCACGTACGTACATACACAGTATGGCGAATGCAGCAGGGGGTTTGGGTTTCCCCTAGTGCCCTGGAGCCACGCGGGAGAGGGGTTCATTCTGACTTGATCGCACAGGCGTGGAGTGTGATTTGCTGCTGTTCAGTCCCCCGTGGTCCCTGTTCCCTCCTGCCTCCCTGTCCCTGTCCCCTCCTGCCTCCCTGTCCCTGTCCCCTTCCTCTACCCACTGGTCTTCCTTCTATTTATAGACAGATGTAAAGGTGGGCTTCGGCGTGGCACATTCCTCTATGTGCACAGCACAGTCCGGTCCACTTCACTCCACAGTTCCTCCCTTTCCTGTCCTCCCTGACCCGCTTCTTCCTCTGCTCCACCCATCTCCCTTCTATTTCCGTGGGACCCTCTCCCACTTTTCCTGTGATTTTGCCCTGGATGCAGGCACGTCAGTTCACAATGGCCAAGTTATGGAAGCAGCCCCAGCAAGTGGATGGTCCAAGGAAACGGGAATCACTGATCTCAGGATGAAGCCAGAAAAGGCGGCGGTGGGCGGGGTTGGCGCTGTGCGCGGTGGATAAAACCCACTTATGAACCAGGTGATTTCTCTGTGGGCTGTGATAACATTACAGGATCGGGGGGACCCGTGCTGAACCCTTCTGCTCACGTGTCAGAGTGTGCACTCCTGCAGGGGACTTCCGTGGGCGTAAGCATCCCGCCCACTAACACACTGGTCAGAAAGTTCAAGGACAGCTGCTCTGCAACAAGATGGTGTCCCACTTGGAACTGACAACATTGTCCCTGGCTTGTGAGATGGCACACACATCAAGGGGTTCTGCTGCAGTGCTCTGGCTGTAGTGTACCAAGTACCTGCTAGCGACCCTGAAGAACCGCTATCCTCAGACGCCACACACGTGCCCCACAGTGAAGAATAGTGTCGGGGCAACAGCGGGACACGGTCCATAGCAGCTACAGAGGAACCCGGAGCCATTTTAAACACGTGCAGATTATATCCTCTAATGGCTTAAGCCAGAACCAGCATCCACCACAGAGAGACTTCAATCCTGGAGACTCCAGGTCAGCTTTACTTTGGGCTAAAGAATTCAAATTGCTTGGAAAGTCTTCAAAATTAACTGGATGGAAATGTTACAAGAGATGTCATCTCTGTCCTTGACGAACCATTTTTACACAAAAGCTCCGTGGCATTACCTGCAAGTGTTTCCGGTGTGAGTTAATGGAGTTTGTGGAGGAGAGAGAATAGGGAATGATGAACAGCAACGCAATCAGATTTCGAATGTTTGGGCTCTTCCAGATGACTGAGCCAGTGAATGGGAAAATGTAGCTCAGCACGGTTCATTATGACTTTCAGAACCTGCAGATAATGGCCGTGAATAAGGGGGTACAACGTCAGTCAAACAGGGATGTAATTTAGTGACTAGGGAAAATGTTCACCTCCTGTGTAAAAACAGCTTTGCAAATTGCTTCCTCCGGCTATATTTTATTTTATTTTTAAAATATACAGCAGGAAAAGTAGGGGGGGTTTTGCTAAATTTGGCAAAATACTTGACTTTTTATGGAAATGGTCTCTGATGCAGGTAAGACAAAAAAAAAAAAAACATCTAAAGAAACTGGGTTGAGGCCAAATTCAATATCCGTGACCCAGTTTTACAAGTCAAGTCAATTGATCTGATTGAATTGGAAAAAAGTTCTCTCCGGCTCACTAAGTAGATCTGAAGACAATTTGTAAAAAAAAAAAAACACATTTCTGTCAACTTTGTCCCATGAACCCACTTCCTGCACCCCGTTCTCGAGCTCCAGGGCAAAGCCCTCTGCCAAGGGTCTGGGAGACAACGGGAAGAGCAGTCGCGACTGAGGGTGAGGGCCTCTGGCGAGCGTCAGGACTGCACTCCTCCTGGTGCTCCTTATGAAGACGCAGGTGTCTGTCTCCATGTCAGACACGGGGCAAAGGGACACGCGAGGAGCCTATTGAGTGTGTACTTGTCAAGCTCCACGTCACTCCAGTAAAGGGTACAAAAACTGAAGCGATGACTGCAAAATCAAATGCAGTGAGTGGCAAGGATTTCGGCAGCTTAACTGGATTATCAAAAATGAAGTAGTGAGTGCACATGCTGCCGAGAGCGAGGCACGGTCCAAGACCCTGTTAGTCAACATTTCAGCAGGGAGAAGGGAGCACGAAATCTCCACGGCGCTGACATCACACGTAAGTGAGGACATTGGAGGAACCAGACCCAGGGCCTGCAGCTGGTTCCACAGGTTGGTTCCAGTCGGCAACTTTCCATAATAGAGATTTTTGTTTCTGGAAAAGTGTAAGACTTTTAGTTGACGTCAGCACTGTTCTCCCTACCCCCTTTCTCTCTCTCTCATGCAGTTTTACTCTAGAGATTACAGTTTGACCCATTTCTATGGGCATGCTAAGGAAGAATTAATCATCTGAATTCTGCTGGGCCTGGTGGTGCACCCCTGTAATCCCAGTGGCTCGGGAGGCTGAGGCAGGAGGACCGTGAGTTCAAAGCCAGCCTCAGCAACTTAGTAAGGCCTTCAGTAATTTAGTGAGATTCTGTCTCTAAATAAAATATTAAGAAGGGCTGGGGATGTGGCTCAGTGGTTAAGTGCCCCAGGTTTAATCCCTGATACAAAATCATCATCATCACGCTCATAATTCCACAATCTTCCACAAGATAGCCACTTTTATTCATTCATTTTTAAAATGTTTTTTGGTCGTTGAGGTACCTTTATCTTTTATTTATTCCTATGTGCCTCACACGTGCTAGGAAGCACTCTGCCACTGAGCCCCAGCCCCAGCTCAGACAGCGACTTTTAAAAAGCCATTTATAATAGCCAAACAGCCAACAGCACTCTGCTTTAAAGAGGTTCCACCGCTCTCGCCAGGGTACCCAAGTCACCAGCTATGGTGCTGAAGCCAGAGGACAGAAACACATCACCCTACCCTGGTTTAGGAAACAAAGGTCTCCTGTAAATGTGTAAATTTATGAAATGGTTAAAAGAATGTCCTGCTTTAGAAACCATTGGGCTTAAAGGACAGGCACATTTAAAACATGACTCCATTAATCTTAAATCAGCGCATATTCTTCAGACTGCTCCTGTTTGAGTACAGAGGAGGGCGTGAATCAGGTGTGCTCATCATTATTCTCCCTTCCTTCTCGCAGACCAACGACTGCCACTGAGGTGGGTGCGGAGGACGGTGGGGGATGCTGAACAGGGGTTCACGGCGACTTAAATCAACTGTGGACAGACAGGCTTGCTCATTTTTTAAATGTTTTGCCGGGTTCTCAGCAATATTATCTACTAATTTACGCTCTACAGAGTCCAGACCAGTATCTGACTAGGCGCAGCAGAAATCTCCCAGAGAAAGACAAGTGAAAGCCACCCACAGGGCAGGGCAGGGGGAGAACTGCGAAGACTCAAGTGCAAGAGGTTCTGGAGGATGCTGGACTGTGATAGTGGGAGCAAATGGGACTCCATTTTGTTTTATGACTCCAGGCCAAGTGGAAGAGTCATGACTAGGGCAAGATGTTCTTTTCCTTTTGCTATAGAAACCTTTAAGAACACAAAAGTACCCCATGGGGTATTGTTTCTGAAACTAGGGTAGCGGGGCTCTGTTTCTGTAACTGGGGTGACTGGGCTAACTGGGATGGGTTAGGCTTCCCTCCGCTTGACTGCACTGTCCCGATTCTGTAACCTGGCTGGCTTGCATTGGCTAGACCCCTGAACACCCCTTTTGCGGTTTTCAGGCTTATAAGGAGTGCCCTTGCAATTGTTCAGGGCTGATCAGGGGAACAGCTTTATGTTCTGGTCAGCCGCCACCGGTGTGCTTCAATAAAGGCTTGACTCGATTACACGTGAGTGGTCTGGAAGTCAGTTTATGAAACCCCGGGACCAAGCTTGAACTATAACAGTTGGTCACACGGAACCCAACAAGGTCCAGTCTGGCCACAGGCTATGAGCAAAGGGGACGGAGCAGCTGTGATCCCTTGTGGGAAAGCGGCGGGAGCCCCTGGAAGTCCACCTACCTAGGAAGGCAGAGGGTGAAACGGTGCCGTTGCTCCTGGACACCATGACGCTGATCCCGGTCTCCACGAAGGGCACGGAGAAGTCCACCACCTCGGAGCGCTCCTCGTTGATGGTCAGTGAGCCGACCGCCATGACTGCTCGCTGGTAGACCACCTGGAGGCGGAGAAGGAGCGGGGTCTGCGGCTCTGCCCCGCCGCCCGGGCCCCTGGGGAGGGCCTGCGGGACGGGCGCCCACCTACCTCCCCGATCATCCCGTTCCACACGTTGTTGACTTTCTTGCCGTGCTTCCCGTTGGTGACCAGGTAGAGGTCATAGGTGAACTTCACGGTCCGCGAGAGCTTCTTCAGGATGTCGATGCAGAACCCCTTGCAGCACTTTTTGACGTTCATCCCCTCGTTGGTTGAATTGCTGTGAAGGAAACCCCAAGACGGCAGAGGGTCAGCGAGGGTGGGCGGGAGGGGTGGGGAGGGGCTCTGCACTTGGCCAGCTCGTCTCCTGTGCCTTCCCGATGGGGAAGCGGGGCTCAGGGAGGAACTGGCCTTTCCAAGGACAGCAAGAGCAGAAGCGTGCTTCATCACAGCGGTCATCACGACAACTGTAACGTGTGGGGGAATGGCTCCTGGCGAGGCACTCCGCTAACGGCCACTGCCGGCTGGGTTGACCCGTGACATTTCTCTGAATCAGGAGCTGTTTTTCACCCCATTAAGCAAGCAAGAGTTGCCCAGCGTACTTTTAAGAGTGCATAACACACAACCTCTTTAAACCAGTGTTCAGTGGCTCTATCTAAAAGTCAATCATAAAGCTTCTCAGAAACTGGGGAGAGGATGATGTGAGATCCTCTATACTTTATCCTGTACTTAAAAGTCTTGAAACCGAAGGCAAGAGGGCAGGGTTCTGAAAAACCTCCCAAGAACCAGGAGACCCGCGTTCTACCCCACGCTGGAGCTGTGGACACCATCTCTCCTGGCAGAGCCGGCTGTCCATGAGGGTTCATTCACAACACTCCCCGTCTACCCAGATGGCATGAAGTATAAAAGGTGACACTCTAGTGGGAAACGCTGTCCACCGGGAAAACCCCTGTCTCAACCCAGACAGTGCTGTCGTCTTAGAATCTCCCGTGTCTTGGAATCTCCATCCTGCGTTACTCACCTGACAAAGTCTCATTCCAAGAACACCCACACGGACCTTAGATACTTCTAAAAATGAAGGAAACTTGGTCTTCCCAAACCAAGTGGCCAAGGCCCCTCACCACTCACACAGGAAGGTCAAGGCCTCTGTGGACAACGCACTTGAGTCCACCTCGCACCAAGCCATCCTCTTGGCTCAACCTTGCCCTGGAGTCGCTGAGGTCATGAAATACGTGCTCTGTTTGAATATTCCATTTGGGGCTCATTTACACACTGGACTGTTTAAAAAAAAAAAAAGCATCAAAATGATGTTTATGGAAATCCAACCCCATCGTAGAAAACATGTTTCCATGTCATGAAAAAAAGAGTCGATTACACGGAGGTACAAACAGAACGATCACAGCTCTATAAAAGCAGAGGAGCTTATTGGGAAAAAAAAAAAAAACTGGGTAGAACAACAAGGGAATAGAAGCACAGCTATTTCTCAATGGGGGGAGTTTTCTTCCTCGTATTTTTGGAGGCATCCCCCAGATAGCCAGAGAGCGTGGGGATCAGAGGCACCGCTGAACGCAGAGGGTGTGCATCTACACCTACAGCCATGGGTGCAGGTTCTGGCTTTTTAGGAGGCTGACGGGCCCCCAGGACTCCACGTTGACCAGAAGTGACAAACAAGGGTCGTCCCTGGGGAGCGTTGCCAAGAAAACCAACAGGAGGCCGTGTCTAACAGAAATCCTTTCAACCGTGGGCTGCCTCAGCCCTGACTTTGGAAGATGCAATTGATCTAACTCGTGAAGATGCTGGGTCAGGGGACCCTAGTGATTTCCCACTGACTTCGAGGACGTCGGACCCCAGTCTCACCTGGAGGCCCAGGCCCAGACCACCCATGGAGGAAAGGAAGGAGCAGGCTCCCGCCCCCCAGGAGCCAAAATCGTGCCCTTGCACGTGCTAAGCCGATTCTCGTCTTCAAGGGGAAAGTCGGTTCTTTAGGGAGAGCGATTCAGTTTGGGGATTTCTCTTCACACCGACAGACTCGGGTACGGCTGACCCCTTGTTTCCAGCTCCAGTGCTACCGAATTTAAAGATTTCAAACTCTTCTTATCGACTGTGAAGCACCCAAGGCCCCGTGGGCCCTATCCAAACCTGGGGGTACCGTGATGGGAAAGGAGGTGTCCTGCCAACGGCGCCCTCAGTTTTCGTCATTCTTTCCACATCGGACCAACTTCTGCCCGCAGGACGCCCACGCAGATCCACACCTCCTGGGACAACCTCCCTCCTTCTCCCCCCAGGCCCTTCCAGTTCCCCCGGTATCCCCCGGGTGTCCTTTTGTCCCCAGCTTGGCTGCCCCTTCCTTCCCCAGGGCCTTTGCTCCTGTGCTCCTCCACCTGGGAGGCTCCTGCAGACCGTCACAGGTCCGCCTCCTTACCCTTCACACTGTCCTTGAGCACTGCTGGGTGACCTCCAGAGCCGCACAGACCCCTTGCTCTCTGACCATGACACCTGGTTTGTCGTTTCACAAGGTCCACCATCACCTGGCGCTGCCGGCTTCCTTCACGGGCAGAGTCAGGATCTGACTGTCTATGACAGGACCAGAGGTCCCGTCTCCTCTGTGCCCAGAACCGCGCCTGACACACGGACTGCACTTAATGCAGGTTTATGCATCAATGTACTGACGTTTTTTTTTTTTTTTTTACATTTTTATTTATAACAACATCTGTGCTATTTAATTGTGGAGGAATTCAGCAAAAATTATTGAGACATCATGTCCCTAGGTGGGGTCACCTGCTTGCCTTTCCTTGATGAATTTCCTATTCATCTCCAGGGAAGGGGAGCCCGGGTGAGGGACGCGGGGAGTGGGGAGGCCTATTCAGGATGGATCTATTTATTCCCTTCGTGATCTATTCAGAATCTCACCTCCAAAGAAGTTGACCTTGTAGATAAAATTTTCTCCAAGCCAAAGTGTGCCTTCATAAGACATTTAGCCAACGTATATATAAAATATACGCCCGACCCCAAGCTCTGAGATCCGGGGCCTGCATCCTGACTAGGGGGGGCTAAAGTCAGAGTGTGGAGTGGAGGAGTCACGGTGCCTGCTCGTCCTGGGCACTCCGCAACCCTGGTCCTGTGCTCTGTGACTGAGAGATCAGCCAGGCACAGTCCCCATACGGAGGTGGCTTGTCATCCAGCGGGAAGACAGACGAATTATAAACTGTAAAGGCAGGTGATACGGGTAGAGATGGACTCCACCCCGGGCACCGCAGGGACAGGCAGAGCTGGCCTAACCTGGGGAGGCCGTGGCCAAGCTTAAAGACCAGGGGGAAGGGCCCCAGGGGAAAGGAGGTGACCAGGAAATACTCCGTCCAGCAGAGGCTTTCCCTTCTAGTCGCTCTCCTGGTGGGGGGTCTGGGCCCATGGGCTCAGGAAATCCGGGGCCATGGCGTTTTCTGGGTTCCCAAAGGGCTCGTGAAGACGGAGCCCTACCAGAGGGTCAGCTCTCCCTTCAGCATCACAGACAGGAGGTGACAGGCAGCCCAGGTCGCTGTGGGTGAGCAGGGGAGCTGCAGAGGTTCAGGCTCCACCTGGGTGGCATCTGAAAGTCACACCAGGTATGTGCCCGTCCTGAGCCTCAGAGACAGACTTTTTTTTCTTTTTTGGTTCCAGGGATGGAACCCAGGGGCACTCAACCACTGAGCACATTCCTAGCCCCTTTTATTTCCTATTTTGAGACAGGGTCTTGTTGAGTTGCTTAGGGACTTGTAAGTGGCTGAGGCTGGCTTTGAACTCGAAATCCTCCTGCCTCAGCCTCCCGAGCCACTGGGATGACAGGTGTGGGCCACCGTGACCAGCCAGAGACAGACTTTTAAAATTTTTCAGAAGGATGGGTCTGGGGGACACCCAGGAGATGAGGGGAGAAGGACATGCTGGGATGAGGGGTGATGGCCAGGCCCCGGAAGTCATGGTTCCAGCAAGACTGAGGGTGGGCTATCCTCGTTGCTTGGGGAGTTCAATAAAGGCCGCGTGGCGTGTCCCCGGCAGGTGTGTCTGCCGACCCGTTATCGTGTGGTCACTATAGTAATAGGGTTATTCTGAGTCACACTCACATCCAGCCACAGATGTGCCATTGGCCACGACACCCGCGATTTAAGAGAACCAGCCCCCGTCACTCACTTGATCTTGACGAACTTCCGACAGGGCACCGTGTTCCTCACGCACGTCTCGGTCAGCGGGTCTATGTCCTCCACGATGACGAAGGGAGCCTCCTCCAGGGTGACGATGCTCAGGTGGTTGTCGTCCGGCTCGCAGTCGGAGAAGGACTTGTACCTGGGCCACACGGCGTGCCGCAGGCTCAGGCTCTGGTTCTCCCACTTCCCCACCTGCATCAAACACAGAGGCCACTCGCTCTCCTGCCCCAGGACTCCCTGCAGGGCCAGGCCCGCCCCCTAGGCGTCCTGGGGGGCAGCGTCCCTCCTGAGGGCGTTCCTGCCGCGAACTTCAACATGTGCACAATTAGGAGCTAAGAGAAATGAAAAAGGAAAGGGTACCGAGCACCGGGCAGCTCCACCTCCCAGATCCCGCCTGGAATCACTACACCTGCACGTCTGGGGGACGTCCCAGCACTGCCACCCTCACGGCTCCCCGGGACCCCTGAAGCGAAGGAAGCAGCAGGGACCCGGAGGATGACAAGCCTGCTCTGAGGTGTGCACATCTGAATCCCAGAGCTTCCGCCCCCTCATGTGACAGAGGCCCAGCCACACCTGGGAGTCTAACAGGGCCATGCCTGGCACGTGGTGGAGACTCCTACCTTCTCTTCAAGTGACAGAGGAGAGAAAGGAACAAAGGTAAAAAGGTGCTAAGAAAAGCAAGTACAAGAGGAAAGGGGAGAAGAAGATGCAGTAAGACGGAGTCAGCGAGGAAAGCAGAGACCTGGGGGAAGGCACAACCCAGAGGGACAGCAGGTGACGGGATGAGAAGCATCCTTCCAATCCCGGATACAGCTCCCGTTTAAGTTGCAAATGAAGTTGAACTTTGGTTAATCTGCACAGAGGGGAGACGCTGCTGCTCAGTGTACACGGAGACCTGTCAAAACAGAATCGATTGCATCCCCTCAGAGCAGCAGTCGGCCTCCGAGCAAAATCAAATTGAAGGCTGTAGGTTTTGAACCTTAATTCTATTTGACAGGTTATTGGCACTATTCACATTCCTGCCGGGAGGAAGCTGCCCCACGGCCTCTCTCGCCGTCCTCCTCCTGCTCCCACGCACGGTGCTTGACACCGCAGGTCAGCACTTCATCTGTAACACCCACCTCCAGGAAAACACCTGGTCTGCAAAGCTAAGTGCAGGCGCAGGCCCGTCTGAGCCGTCGTGACCCACTCACCTCTCCCCCCCGCGACATAGTGTGGCCAGAAATGAACCAACCGGAGGCCCTTCAGGAGATTCAGACGCCCTGCACCAGACAGGAGGGGGCGGGCAAGGAGGGGGCGGGTCCCTGATCCCTGCACTGCCTCGTCATTTGGGCTGGCTGTAAAGAAACATCCATGTGGCTGATCACAACGTGCTCTAGCTTCTGTGACCCTGTCTCCTTAAGGTAGGAAGGTCAGCAGAGCTCTTTGCAACGTGCTCGTATGTGCCACCCGGGCTCGGGAGAACATGGGGCCCATCGGATTCTTCTTTCATTCCACATGGATCCACTGAACACCTACTATGTGCTGACACCAGCCGAGGAACAATCCTGGATTGTTCTTAGAAAGACTTCTGCCATCTTAGAGCTACCAATCAGCTGCAATAATAGGGTTATTACAGTGGCTTGGGAGGCTGAGGCAGGAGGATTGCAAGTTCAGAGCCAGCCTCAGCAACTTAGCAAAGACAGAGATCTAACCAATAATGCTGAACACAGATACAAAGATTTGCACACTTTTTCCTTTTGGAATATGTTATACTAACCCCCTTTCTTCCCATTTGTCTTTGAAAACTCAAACACAACCTTTGAGAGAGGTTGGGTAGCTTAGTGGAACAGCTTTGGGGGTCAAGTAGAACGAGGGAAGAAGAACGAGGGGTTCTTACTGGCTTCACCCTCTAGCTGAACAGGCTGGGGAAAGTCCTTTGGCCCTTCTGAGCTTCTCTTTCTCTGTTAAAATACAGAGAGAAAAAAAGAGAATTCCTTTAAGGACTGCAGGGAGGTTTGAATGAGCCACTGCTGTCCATCACACACGGAACCGACACCCAGTGAGGCACGTGACATCACTATTCTGTTGCTGTTGGCATTTGAGACAGAGATCAAATGTCAGCTTATTTGTAAAGTGGTTCTTGCTTTTCCTAGAAATCTAGAATTCTGCATCTCTCTCTACCACAGCGTGTTGATACTATCTACGATCATAACAAGGTCACTGCTGACACTTCTGTGTTCAGGAAGGGTGTCCGTCTCACCACTTAGTCTAATTCCACCAAATCCAACATGGTGGGAAGGGAAGCATGGAGAGGTTATGTGAGCTGCTCAAAGTCACACAGCAAGCAGGTGCAGAATGAGATACACCACGGGGCTGTCTGACTCCACGGGGTTTCCCGTCAAATACTCAGTGCTTCTACCAACTGAGCAATGATGACATCGCTCTACCTACAAGGCCCTTCCTTCCTTGCAGACCTGGCTCCTGACATCCCAAGATAACATAGATCAAGGCTTGAACGAGCCCTGAACTAGTTGGTTATGCCATTGGCCTCACTGCACACCAGACATGAAGGACAAGAGCCAGCCCCAGAGTGACTCATGGGGAAAGAGTCACCAGCTCCAGAGTGTGGTGTCTTCCTAGCTCCCGGCTGCTGCCCGCTTCCCGTCACATCCATGCAAGGACCCATGTGTCAGCCCAGGAGGACGGAGGGAGGTGGCAGGTGGAGAGTGCTTGATCAGGAACGGAAGCTTCTGGGTAAACACTGCCCCAGATCCTGAGGGCTCCCTCCTTCTCTCCTGAGTCCACAGCTTCTTCAGGACCCATCTCAAACACCAAGAGTCCCAACTCCAAGACTGTCTACCAGATCCGAAGCTGGAGGACAGGCTGAGCGTTGGCATTCCGCACCCAAAGCAAAATACCGGGGAGCGAGGATCTCTCCCAGCAACCTCCGTCTCCCAGACTCCGAGCCATGGAGGTGGCTGTCTGCACAGTCCTGGGAATTAAATTTCCCTGGACAGCAAAGGCACCGTGCTCTCACCACCTGAAAGGCGATCCAGCCACCCTGCAGTGTTCACAGGGAAAGCAAGACTCCATGTGATAAACCCGGAACTGGGGGTCAGGAAGCCTTGGTCTCCATCCTCACATTGTCTCTGCTAACCCCAGTTTGCAGGGGCAGGAAACAGGCTTGGAACCTCCACACTCCAAGCGTTTCTCTTTGGAAATTGTGTCCCAAATGGAAGAGCCCTGCGCACTCTGAAAACGGCAGCTAGCCATCTCATTCCACCTTGGACCTGATGGTGACACCCCTGCTGTTCTCTAAAATGGACCTTCTTCCTTTTCCAAGGCCCTTCTCCATGATGCACTCCACACTCTACTGACATCAAGACCCATAAAAAGCTGCTCTGAGGAGTGAGCCAAACCGAGATCACAGCACCCTTCCTTTAGCTCCACGTTTTCTGAGGCAGAGACCAGTACATCAGAGCAGGTGAACGACGCAGCCACTGCGGCCACGTGAGCCTGTATCTGGAGCTAGAAAGGGAAGGTCTCCGGGGACAGGTGGCCGAAGGCCTGGTTAGACGGAAGGAGGAGCCGGACAGAAGGCACACCTGTGCACGGCATGGGGTCCAGGCTCACGCGCGTGCCTGGAGGGGCTCCACTGAATTTTCAGGAATCACCTCCCTCGGTGCTGTGGACCCTTCCCCATCCTCCCTCTCATGGAGCAGAAGGAAAGGGCTCAGCCTCATGAATGGCCTGGACTCGGCAGAGTCAGTCGGTTACAGTCAGATTTTTTTGCTAGTGTGACCAAAAGACCTAAGAGAACAATCAGAGGAGGGAAAGCTTATTTGGGGGCTCACAGTCTCAGAGGTCTCAGTCCACCGAGAGCCGGCTCCATCGTTGAGGGCTTGAAGTGGGGCTGAGAGCGTGGGGAGGGTCTGGGGGAGGAGAGCCATCGAAGACATCCACAGGAAGCAGAGAGAGACTCCACTCACCAGAAACAACACGTCCCCCACGACTGCCAGCCACGCCCCACCTGCCTCCAGTCCCCACTCAACCAACCCCTACCAGGGGGTTAGTCCACTGACTGGGCCGAGGCTGCCGTAGCCCAAGCACTTCACCTCTGAGCCTCCTTCCATTGTCTCACACATGAGCCGCTGGGGGACATCTCCATCCGTCCATAACACAGATGAGCAGATTTAGATCCTGCCCGACCCTAGCCACGTGACCTTGAACAACCTTGGTTTCTGCAAACACCACATGGTAACATTCCATCTCACAGTCATCGTGAGGGTTCTCGGGGGTTAAGGACAGCAAACCTTTGCGAGCACACGGTACCTGGCCCACAGAAGGTCTCCTGCTGGTCCTGTTGTCCTTCAGGCAACATGTACTAAGTCTCTCTTTGAGAAGACGAGAAGCTTTTGCAGGGGAAGCCCAGACTGAGGCAGTGGAGACCAACCCGAGTTCCTGCCATGACGTGCCCTTGACGGGTCCTCTTCTTGGTCTCGGCCTCCGCACCTCTAACAGGACATGAGGGGTTGGGTTTGGACTAGGGGACCCCTAGGGCCTTTCAGATCTGAGCTTCTGTGTAAAATACAGGGGCGAAGTTGTCTTCTCAGCCCTTCCCCGATTCGGGGCCAGGTACCAGTAGAGAATCAGAAGAGGGGGAGGGTAGCGCTCCTCGCTCGATGTTTACTTCTGGACGGTCAGGGCAGAGGGACGCGCCTGCCTCTGGAGAAGGTGGCAGGAGGTTCTGAGAATCCAGCAGAGGGCTGAGGGGCACAGGGTGGGGTCCGCAGAGCCCTCTGAGCTGCAAGAACCAGTGGGCCCCAGGCCAGAGGCTTCACACCAAGTGGACTTTTCATCTTCTAGAAAGAGGCACAAGCCCAAATACCGGCTCCGCCACGTTCCTGCTGTCGCGCTGTGGACACTGATGACCGAGTCACTGTTCACACTGCTGGGTGTGAGCATGGGCTTCAGGGAACAGTGCTGACGGGTCTCCAGGCATTTCCATCCTCAGCGCAGCTCCAGGAAGCAGGTAACCATGATGACCCTCGTTACATCATGAGGAGCCTGAAGAGGGCCACCGCAGGATGTAAGTCAGACGGCGAGAATGGAGAGCGCGGCTCACTCCCTGTCACTCTCAGAAATGGGTGTCTGTGTTAAAGGTACCTGCCTCATAGAGTAGTAAGGGCTCACAGGTGAGGAAGGCGGCT